CATGACCTCCATCGCCTCCCCCACGTCCCCTCTTTCCCCAGATCCTGCTCAGCTGGCCAAATCCCGCGCGTCCAGGCGCTCCTCCCGCGCCGGCGAGGCCCAGCTGCAGGCTGAGCTCGCCTCGGCCGCTGCTCAATCTCCTCCGTCGGGCCGCCGCAAATCCCAGTGAGTACAGCGTGAAAGCAATAATCCCCTCAGCCATTTCCCCGATGCTCCCCGATTTCTCTCGCTGCGCATGTGGTAACGGCAACCGTGCCGCGCCCTGCTTCGTGTGCGCACTGGTTTCCCAATGGTCCATCGTGCACCATCCTCGATCATCGTCGCCACCCAGCTCCCAATCTGATTCTTCACCACATGCCTGCACCAAACAAAGATCGTGTATCCCCCATCTGCTCGTACCCCGTCGTACGTGCTGCTGGCCTTTGGAGCTGGGCTACATTCTATACTCTGCCTATCTCAACCGGTCCTTTGTTATGTCCGATCTCGTTCGTCCCCGGTCCCTTGCACACAGGTCTCGTTCCTCGCATCGCACATGCCGCAATGTCGGCCCCAGAGGAGCGGGACGTCCCGCTACTCCAGCAGCGTGGCCGCCACGCTAGACCCCGGGCCCTTCTTCGTATCCCGGCCACGGTTATTTCATTTAAGCTCCGCGGCCGTTTTGTGATTTGACATGCAGTCATCGTCCGGCTGCGTGGCCCAGAATATCGCGATCTGTCCTCGACCCTGCTCTCCGTTGTCCGTTCGCCTATCGCCTTCTCATCTTTTCTTCCATCGTGTTGATGTTGCTCACGCGTTCCTCTTCCCCTCTAAAGGTCGCACATCACTAGCCCCCCGCGCGCTCTCCCGTACCCCGCTACAAAGCCTGCCCGTCGACCATCTCAACACAATCACTCGCAGTCCGCGTCCGCCGGCCCGACAGACCGCCGGGGCTCACTTCCATCACTTCACCTACGGTCAGCGTCGCAACGTACCGCCGAACCCGTACCACCATTACCTGGCTTCAACTACGACAGCACCACCGTGGAGAATCCCAATAGCGACTATTCTAGTCTACAGAGCTTCACCTTCGGCGTCGCTACCGGCACCACAGCTCGACCAACTTACGAGGCGGACACCCTCAGCCCGCTTGCTACCTCCCCATCTCACGAAGACCGGACACCGCGCCCATCAATTTTCCGCGCGCGCGACGACGACCCGAACGATCAAGACGAACAGGAACGCTGTCAGCGAGCAAAGATGCGGGCGATCGATTACGGCGAACGGCGCCCCTCTCTACCCACCAATCTCAACCTTGCTGCCGCTTCGGCCGCGCATGGCGAACCCGAGGGAGAGCTTGCGTACGACGAGCCGTCTACACCGATGCCCGGGCCCTCAATGACTCCGCCGCCCGATGCGAACCAGACACCAGAGCGCACTTCACTCTCGGATGTCGAAGTCGACGCAGACGCTGGTATCGACACGGATATCGAGTACAGCAGCGAGACCGAGCCTGATAGTGCGAGCATACACACCTTTGGAGGTATGGCACGTCTGCCTCGCAGCGAGCACGTCACCCCTTGGGAGTTCCAAGCCCCTCCTCCCGACTCTGACGAGGATATCGCGCCCGACGTCCAGGGTCGCCGCCCAAGCGCACAGCCCAGTACGCGCACCGTCCAGCAACAAGGCTGGTGGAATCTCAACGAGCAAGACCCAAATCGTGACCGTGAGGATAGCGTCGCCACCATTCGTCGGCCGAGCGACGCTGCCCAACACCTAGAAAATATGCATCTTCAGCCCCCGCCGGAAGCTGGTTCCTCTGCATACGAGGGGATGGATCTGCAATACATCATGGGCGATTTTGGACATGGATCCCGACGCTCGTCGCTCTCATTTGTCGCGCAGCCCCTCCCGCTGCCTCCGTCCAAAGGAGGGAAGAAGGGGAAACAGAAGGACAAGGGGAAGGGGAAGGAAAAGAGCCAAGGTGCGCTCCGACCTCGATTCGGCGATTTTTCGCGCCCGCTTTGCTCACGTCAGGATTTCGCTGGCCGTAGATATCCAGGAGTACCTCGGAAACGACGCCTCGATAGCACCCTGGGCCAACGACTCGCGCCGGCCGAGTCAGGCGACGATCTCGGGGGACGACACGTTCCAGAAGGGTCTCCGCTTCGACCCGGAGTACGAAGACCAGCAAGTAACGTGGTCTTTCCACCGCCAGGGCGAGCCCGAACCCGGGAACGGAACGTCTCCGTCTGGGAGGCGCATCAAGTGGACGAGCGTCTCGCGTTGTGCACAAATCGGCATCTTACGCTCAGAGCGGTCCGTCATGGTCAGCTGTACGTATCTCTGTACTGCTAGCGTATATGGAAAGAGAAGGGCTGAACTTCTTCACAGCGGAACAATCGCGCCGTCCAGCCGAGCGCCTGAATGTGTATCACGTCGCAGATCCCTCGAACGAAGGCAACAAGCTCGGCGGTCCCGGCATGCTCGTGCATAAACATAGCCGCGCGAAGGCTTTCGCGATGTATCGCTTCTACGACTTGCACTCGCGTCGCCATCAACCCATCCGTTCAGCGCGCGCCAGTTCAGTGACGGCGGCGCCGAGTGTTGCGTCAGGTCATTCGCGTGCTCAACGGCAGGGCAGTACACATGGACAAGCGAGCCTTCCGCCGAGCAAGGGTATCCTGCTCGCGCCGAAGAGCGTCATGACGCAATTCACGAACACGCACAGTACGCGGAACCTCGAGGACCATGGTCTACTTGCGGAACCCCACCCTTCTACATCCCGCCAGCGCGCACAAGACGACCGTCGTACGCGTAGCGCCAGTCGCGATCGCCCACGAGAACGTGCACAGAGCAATCGGCTGCCTGAGCGCCCGCCGCTTCCGTTCAAGGAGCCTCGGAAGCATATCATCGACCCGAAGGCTTTACCGGAAATCATCGAGCGGTCGAATGCGACCGCTACGGTCGACACGACATCGTCTGGTGATGCTACGGCCTCGATCGCCTCGAGCAGCACTCCGCTCGTACGGCACCAGGCGCAAGAGTCGGACGAGATTGTTCCGATCACGGTCGTGCCGCCCAATGCTCACAGCCGGGCGAGCAGCGAGAACGGCGATGACGAAGAGGAAGAAGAGGAAGATGAAGAGGGTGTCCTCCGCCACAAGCGGACGACGTACGCCGAAGCATATGGCACTCTTGATCAGCCTACCCTGGAGCGCCTCAGGCAAGACGGCGGGCTCGACGACAAGGCGCGTCGCAAGAACTGGGTGATTCGTGCTTTCCGTGGCCAACCGACCTCGCGCGGTCAGGCTGGTAGTATGGGCATCAAGCCCTCTCGGGTGCCATGGGTCACTCTCGCACCGCGCGGTCAGCAAGAGGAACAGGCTTCCGCCATCAAGACCCTCAACTCGTCCTTCGTCGATGTTGGCCTGCTGCCTAGCTATAGGAAGAAGGCTAGTCAAGGTCAGGGCGTCGGTCGTCAGGGTCACGGTAAGCACGCGGAAGTGCTTACGACTGTGCCGGACGACGCCCTGTGTATGCTGCTTCCACTCTGGCCAACGGAGACGGACCCAGACAGCGCGCGGATGTACCCCAATGAGCGCGCACAAGACCCGCCGCTCGAGGAACGACTTTACCTGCTCGTCTACTTGGTACGCTTCGTTGATGGCGAGAAGGAAGGCCAGGCCAGCGAGGCGGGCGGGAGCAGCACGAAGAAGCGGCCGCGTGTTGAAGGAGAACGCGATCGTGAGCGCGACCGCGAACGACAGAGGGAGCTACTCCTAGGCCGGGATACGAGCGCCACGGTCGTGTTCAATTGCTTTAGGGCTATTGGGCGTCTGATGACCTACGACGACCTCAAAGGGAGTAACGTGCGGCTGCCGGTGCACGGGCTGAGCGTCACTGGCTCCCTCGCTGAGGCTCGGCGGGGTATCCCGGCTGCATCCCTGCGCGACGTGCACAAGGACGACTACGTGATCGCGATCTGCGCTGACAGGCGCAAAGCGACGGTCGAGCTGTTCCCGGACGGGCTGGACAGACTTGGGCTTTGCGTGCGCGACCCAAACCATGTGCGCCGGACGGCGCCAGCCGAGATGCAGCACGAGCGGAATCCCGAGCAGGAGCCGGCGTTCCCGCTCACGGCCATTGGGCGTGCGGCTGTCGAGATGACCTGGCTCGCGTGTATGAGCCTGATGAGCTTTGGGGACGTCTAGTCGTGTGCCGCGTTCCCGTGCGCGTGCCAGACGCGAGGAGCGGGCGAGTTTCCGCCGTTCACTGTTCCCGGTTCTCTTTTCTCTCTCGAAAATTTTACACTTTTACACGGATTGACGACGACCCCCCAAGACGAACCCCATGCCTCGTTCTGCCCAGCCCTTTGTGGTCCTCTGTATCATAGAATAATCACTGGGCGGCGCCTGCGGCCGTGCGACCGCCGGCGCAGACACTGCCTCCCCCTTCCGCGTCTCATCTAAGCCATCTCCTTTCCATCTAGTCTGTTTCCCATCTCAATCATCATACATTTCTCTCCCCTCGTCCTGCTCTCTTCTGTTTCTCGAATCTCCAGGAAGAATACAGACATCCGAGTTACCCCGCCACCCGCTTGACAGCTATGTATTTCGCCGGCTTCGGAACCTGTGGATAGCACGACACCCCGCTGTAGCTCGTAACACTTGACCGCTTTGACCGAATGGGATCTTTATCATCTATGTTTGGCGTGCGCCTCTCACGTTGTTGCTGCGAGATGTTCCTTCGTGGCCGGGTCGTCGACTCGTCGGCGGGCGCAAGGTGGGGATCAGGCACAGCGCCTCACGGTCGGAATTGGCCGGGTCCGATATAAGGATGACGGGGCGTTTCGCGCGCTTTCCTTAGACCACGTCGCACCCAAACATCGACGTGTCTCCGAGCGCTGCGTTGACTCGCACTCTCCGCTTGTATACTTCTTGGATCCCTCGCTCTTTACTCTAATCCTCTTACCTCTAACTCTCATCATCCATGGCCCGTGAAATTATCCACCAGAATTCTCTCCCGTCGCCGTCGATGTCGCCTCAGCAACCCGAGTCGCCCATGCTGAAGAACACCCACCCATCGCCCTCCGCCTCTGACGACACCCAGCCACGAAAGCGCTCTCGGACGGACCTGTCTGTCGACGAGCGCAAGGAGGCCCGCGCCCACCGCAACCGTATCGCCGCCCAGAACAGCCGTGATCGCCGCAAGGCCCAGTTCAACGCCCTCGAGCAGCGCATCGTCGAGCTCGAGGCCGAGAACCGCACTCTCCGCGCGAGCATGGGCCTCGCCGCACTGCGCGACTCTGACGAGCACCGTGCGATCGAGAATCAGCGGGAGCGGGAGAATGCCGAGCTGCGGGAGCGCGTCAAGACGCTCGAGCAGGGCTGGGACGCCATCCTCAAGGCTGTCCAGCTCACCGGCATCCCGGCCGGCATCCTCCCCCAACCAGTATCTGCCTCGGCATCTCCCCCCGCACCAGCGCCTGCCTCCTCCACCAACGCCCGTCCCTCGTCTTCCAAGACATCCGCATCAAAGCCCCACGCTCACCACGCGCCCGCCACGTTCCCCGTCTTCGTCCCGCCCTCGCCGGTGTTCCCCCTCTCGCCGGCGCCGTCCAGCGCATCCACCGCGTCCCAGCAGCAACAGCAGCCCTTGTTCCTTCCCGATTCTGAGCCCGAGCCCACTCGCCACCTAGCACGGGTGGCGTCCACCGCAAAAGCGGTGCCCCAGCAGCGGGTGAGCTCGGTCCACTCAGCCTCGACGGCAGCACAGGTCCTGCGCCAGCTTCTCAGGACGCGCAACACCCACAACTGGACGATGCGGCGATGGACGACCTCTTCCGCGAAATCCTCGCGTCGCCGACGCTGTCCGCAGCCGTACCTCCTCAGGCTAGCTCCTCGGCCTTCGCGCCGCTAGCCGACCTCGACTACGAGGAGGGCGCAGCGGGCCTGGACGTTGGCATGGCGGGCGAGGACAGCGATGACGCGCTCGCGGACCAGGAGGCGGAGGTGAACGTGGAGCAGCTGCAGGCACTCTGGGAATGGCTCCCGGGAAGCACGGCCGCGGACGATCTGTCTGCGCTCGAGCTCGACGTCGGCGTCGGTGCGACGGGCTGGGATATGCCCGTCGTGCCGCCCGTGTCGGTGGCGGAGGTCTTCTAAATTAAGAGCGAGGACCCCCAAAGCCGGCTCTGGGAGCCGGCGTGTACAAGCCAACCAAAAGGATAACTCTACCCCCACCACTCATAGAGCCCTTTCTAATCCCGGATTTCTCTCGGAGTGCCATTGTATCGTGCGGACTGCCTGTGTGTAATCTTCTCCATCTGACTGTGTGTTCCGTTTCTCGTTTCTCAAGTCTCCTCGCATCGTATCTATCACCGTCTCCTGGATCCAGCCTCGTCTCGTTTTCCTCTCACACGCACATTCGCCCTCTCCCTACGCTACCTCCACCCACTCTCACACCCTTCACACGATTCGCCACGGACTTTCCCTCCCTCACCCGGACACTTACTCACGACTCGACTTCCGACCACATACGATACGACCACGGTTTCATCGTCCCGCGGCTCCGCCTCGTCCGACGTCGCGCGTGCGCCGACCGCTTGCTCCCGTTGCCTCAAGCTGCCGTCTCTCCCTTTGGGTTGTAGAGGCGTGCTAGGCACAGGGTGCGGTGAGCGCGAGAAGCTAACGCGTTGCTGAGGACGGGTGTTGTTTTGGGTCGTTGACCTTGTTACCTTACTCCTTCGGTTTTTGGTCACTTGTCTTGTTCGGACTGTAGTTTACGGGCTTCGGGTTGGTTAGTCTTGTAGTGTTTCGCTGTAGAGGTTGTCGGCGTCGGTGGAATGTGTAATGGATGACGTTTGTGTTCTCATTTCCCTGTGTGAAATGTGTGATCTCAAGGTGCGATAAGCGCGATCGCAGTTGGATTGAGGCAGGAGGAGCACGGCAACGGCCGAGCTCGTGTCATGTTGAACGGCCGCCTTGTTCACCGCGTTCACCACTTTTCCCTTCTCCCGCCCACTACCATGATCGAGCCACGAACGAATGCACTTCCCTCTTTGTGGCCGTCCTCAAACTGCTGGCCATAGGTCACCGGCAATGATCGTACTTTCCGATCGCCTTAGTCGAATGGGATCGGAGCTTCAATCGGGTTCACGTATTGGGCTCTCAGTGATTGATACGCGTGCAATCCGTATCTGCCGGTGCTGATCAAGAGGTCGCGGTACAAAGACGAGCGAGGCGCGCAACGTAATGCCGGAGCGCTGCAACGTTGCGCGAGGTGGTCGATCGTACTTATGGGCGGTACCACCACTCCTCCCATGATCAGCTTCAGGACGGACGGTCGTCTTTCTGGAACAATGCCTATCACTATTACTGGGGAAATGACGGGTACGTGATGCGCCCTGGAAGATGCGCTTGTTGCTGACCTATCTGCTTTGAAGCCACCAGACGGAAGCTCTGCGCGACCTTGGAGGTACGAGCCGACTCTGGAGAAGCCAAGCGCAACAAAGATCAACGTGACGTCGTCGAGAATCCTTCCAATAGTAACGTCTGTGACCCAGACGAACAAGCACTCCAAACCTCACCACCCAACTCACCTACCAATGCGGCCAGCACGGAGATCTTCATCACGCACGGCGATGCAATGCTCGGACTTTTTGAAGGACCGAACGGCGAAGAAGATACCGTGTGGCGCAAGGCCGCCGTTCACGAGGCATGGGCGACGATTACCGCGAACACGACCCGAGGAGATGATGGTCCACAGCGGGCATGCCGGAGTTCCAGCCGTAACGTGGAGTACATAGCGTGTTGGAAGTTCAACCTGGCGGACGACGAGAACTCGAGTGTACGCGCCCAGAAGCTTGTTCAGTCCTGGAAAGACGGGCGTCAGATCGAGAAGGAGGGCCAGTGGTGGTACGAGTTACTCATGCAGAGGTCTGAGCCGCAGGGCGAAGACGAGCCTGCGCTCAAGCTCGTACTGGAGTACGACGCTGGTGAGAAAGCAGACGGGAGAGCTTGCGAAGGGACCTGGTGGATGACTGGATTCCTGCCAGCAGATGAGACGCATCCGGCGCTGAAGCATTTTCACGCAGATATGCTTGAGTACTATTGACATCGTGTACTAGTAGCCGGATCTTTCCGCGTGTAGCATTTTGATATGCATGGCTGATATACTTGACTTACATCACTCTCTCATACATGGCGTGACATTGTTTGAATGGCTAGTGCTTGCTAGCAAGTGATACCAAGAGACGTAGTACTCATAGTCTGTAGGACGGACTAGCTGAAACGCGAACGCTCAGGCGTCGACACGGTCATCTCTGCTTGATGTCTGCGAAACGTAATGGTGTTAGCCGAGGCGTTCGGACCGTTGCATGAGCGCTGAGCACTCGCGTAGGCTTGTGGACGAACGTCCATCTCTGGCATCAGGTATGGCTGCCGCTACGACGGACAAAAAGACAGGTATGTTTTGCGCGGCTCGCGCAGTCTCGCTCTTCGCTGACATACGCCCAGGAGACAATAAACGGAAGCTCAGCACAAGCTCTGATGTAGCAGCGGCCCAAGGGGAGGCTAAGCGTACCAAGGGCGAAGACAACGTCAATCAGCCGGAAAGCTCTAACCCGCCATCTCAGGACGCTCGAGTGACGTCTCCATTCGCCAGTGCGCCTACCGTTGATGTGTTTCTCACATACGGCGACGCCATGCTCCTCATATGCGATGAGCCATGCAGTGAGCATGAAACCATCTGGCGCCGGAGCGCCATACACGAGGCCTGTGCGAAAGTTCAAGCGGAGAAGGAAAAGGAGGAGAAGGAGAACAGCGATTCACAAGACCGATATCGGGGTTCAGATGATTGCGTAGAGCATATAGCGTTCTGGACGTTCAATCCCGCGGACGAGGACCACTCACGAAGAGGTCCACGTGCGCAGAAGCTCGTCGACTTATGGACAGAGGTGTGCAAGACGGAGAAGGAGGACCAGCGGTTTTACGAAGTATTCATGCAGAGGGATGAGCCGCAGGGGGAGGATGACGCTGCTCTGGAGGTTGTGTTGGACTATGAGGCTGGTGATAGAGACGATGGAAAGGCGGGCGAAGGGACGTGGTGGGTGACCGGCTTTCAAGCTGCAGACGAGACGCACCCAGCATTGCAGCACTTCGATGACTACATGCCTGACTACTATTGATGTTTGAGTCCGACGATGGAGGGCGGCACACGTAGCACTTGATACAACTCGTCAATAATCTTGCATTACATTACTTTCTCATATCTATCATGACGGCGTAACCGCGATACATGCGCTCTAGCTCTTCACCACGGGAGAGGCACGACCGTCGACGATCAAATCAGGGTCGGGTACGGTGTAGTTGGCGAAGCAGTCGAAGGCAAAGTCGACCTCCGCGATACGGGCCTTGGTCCCTTCGATGTACGCATCAAGCTCGCAAAGGCCGTCCTTGTCCTCCTTGCAGCCTTGGACACCGGTGAGCGGCACGACAGCATCGTTGAGGATCCAGCGGAAGTGAGTAGCCGTGCTGTTGCTAGCGGTAACATTGGTCTTGCTCGGGCACGAAAGGACCTGGCCGACGAGGTTAGTCGCAAACGGCGCTACGTGGCTGACGATCCATTTCTGGCGCAGATATTAAGCACGCTATGATGATGGATGACATGACATCGGCTTACGCGGTCCTTTTGGATATGGTCAGTAGGCAGAGGGCCACTCTCGGCCAGGCTCGTCAAATTCAAAGCAACAGCGACTATGAGGGGACGAGTATCAGCAACTGACACGCTGTTGAGAGGTAAACTCGGACAGACTAGATGATATGATCGTGTCGTGGCTGGCATCGACGAAGATGGGCTGTTTAAGAGGGAAGGTCACGTTGCTACCATCGAGAGTGGCGTTGGTTGTGGTGTCGAAAGTGGTGATAGGCGTTTGGGTCAACCGTGCGATGAGCTCCTGGACGTAACCAATACCCTGCGACGCGGTAGTCGCGCCACCAGGGCCGTCACTGTACCAGAAGGCCAAGTCTAGAGTAAACTTGAGCGGCACGTCATATCATAGCTCACCTGTCGCGACGTACCGTACCAATACTCGTAAGCCTCCCAGTCTGCCTGTGTGAAGAGATCGCAGAAGCTAGAGTATCCGAGCGCGACTGACTGTTGTTCTCTATTAAGACCGCGAGTGGCACTCAGAAGGGGAAGAGGCTTACCTCGTATGCGCAGAGGTCTTGCATGGCCACGATGTCGGTAGATGTAAGGTTAACGCCATCAAGGTACCCAGAGAGACGCTCGATGATGGGCGGTGCGTATACATCCGCCCACTCAGCCGCCTTAATGTATCCGAGATAACCGTTGTCGTCAAGGTTTGAGTTCGGGCAGTCATAGTATGGTGCCAGCGTCGAGTTGAAACCGTCTTCTTCGATCTGAATGAGCTGGTGATAGCTGGTTTGGTACGATTGGACTCCGAAGAACCCAGCCGCGAACTGAAGTCTGCGATGCTATCAATCCTGGATCCTGTGTAGAATCACTATGCATACTTACGCGGAGTCAACCATACGTGCTAGAACGCGTTCAGCCAGGGTTGTAAAGGTGCGTGATAATACGTACTGACCTTCAGATGTCGTACGCCAGACGGGAAGGTCAGTGAAGCCCTTCAAGAGTGCGCCATATCGAACCCTTGCATTGACACCAAGCTCGTATCTAGAACACAAGTGATTGAGGAACGCGGTTTCGTGTTTACGAAGAGATACTCACAGCTGCTCACGTCCAAGTGGCGTCAAAATCTCCGCACCAAGTGAGAACTGCCAGGTGTTCAAGAACTCCGCAGGACCACTGGCGCTGAAGCCAGTTCCGTTCACAGTGATGTTGTGCAACTTGGCAGCGAAGTTGGATGGGCCACTGCCGGACGTGGGGTAACGCGCACCGTGGCGGTGAATAATGTGCACCTGTTCGATCTCGCAACCCTTCGGTACCACAGGTGAAGACTCAGGAAGGCCCCATGTATCCGCCGGGAGCGAGAACCACGGAGTAAGGCTGCCCCAGCTGCGGACCATGTCGAACTTCGAGCCTTTCTTGTCGGCTGTGTCAGGCCGCACGACCGGGTCAACGCCCACATGCACGGCGATAGCGGGCGCAGTCTCAATGGAGAGCGCCTCATCACCAGCTGCACGCGACGCGTCAGTCGATTTTCGGCGCGCAAGGTGTGAGTCGGCGTACTCGGCGTGGGTCCTGCGTATCCGACCTCCGAAGCATCCGGGAAGTCCGGGTCGTTCCCGGGCGATGCTGGAGTAACACCGGCGGGCGGAAACTGGAAGGTCGTTGTGGCACCGACGTAGCTGGACGCCACCTCCCCAGCCGTCGATGGGAGCGTTGTGGGCAGCGTCAGAGCCAGGGAAAGCGGCACGAAGGCCAGTACGGCGGTCGTCGGAGCAATCATGCTGTTCAGAGATCGCGAGAGCGCCCGTCGTGCACTGGACAACTGGTCGTGTGCGCACAAATTGTCTCTCCCTATATATCGGAGGACAAGGATAACGGCGAGGTACGCATGACGTTGGTTCACACGACAACAAGGAGGAGCATGAGGGAGTATATCGAAGTCTGTATTTGCCTATACGTGATCGTGATCCGCGCGAAGATGTCCGACTCTGAAGTTGCAGGCCATCGCGGGTTATCGCCCCCAGATAAATTGGCATGCTCATCATCGTCGTCGCACAGGAGTTGCGAAGGTATGGTAAGACGGTGCGTAGCGAACGGTGCATTTCGGCGAGCTAAATATCTGTATTGCCCGCAGAGTATGCAGGGTTCAGAACGATTGTGGGATGTTTGAGGAAACATTCGCGCCAGTGATAGGCAGCGCATCAGATAGTAGCTCTGGAACCATGTGTGACGGAACAAGCCCGGGGTTTGGACAAGCCGGGCCGTGATAGCCTGCTGTATGGACAAAGCGTAACTGCGAGCTTGCGTCAAACAATGCCGCGTTGTGAAGGTATGATTTTGACGGACGGGTTGATTACTGACATCCGTATCTCCGTCTACGGTAGAATATAACTGAGTCCCACAACATCTGTGCCCTTGACATCGTAGTGCCTACAGGCCAAGCAGAGAGCGCATCAAGGGGGGCCTGAGTACATCGACGTGTGCATCGATACGACGAACTCAATGGATAGTGTCAGGAGGTGGGTTTAGCCAGTGGATATGTAGATGGTGGCGTTGACAGGAAGGGGTTTGGAGCCTACTGGATGGGCATTGCGCCGAAGAGGGCAAACGATTGCCGCTACCGATACTTCTGGCTGATGATGGGTTTGACGCTGGTCGCAATGATTCCTCGTCTAGTGCTTAAGGTAGGCATCAAGATGCCGAGCTTGTCGGTACATAACAAGCAGTACTCGACAACATGACGGCGAGCAGCAGAAAGGAGTACAGCGTTCGTGGCCGATTATGTACTTATCGTGATCTAATCCGGGTGATCTTCCATCAAGCCGGGCGTCTTCCGGCGGCCAGGTGGGTCGTAGGTTGACTTCGGGCCATGATCTGTATTGGTCGGAATCCTCGCCGCTGGCGCTGAGGATGTTCGGATATCGATAGTGCTGTGCAACTTATATCCCTGTATACCCTCCCTGCTCGAGCGCTCGGAGAGGTCATTTATCAAGTCCGAACTCGAACGGCGACGCCACCGTCGACTCTTCTGTTTCGCGCGGTTACACGGTAACTTGTCGACTGGCCTCATTGCAGCGCGAGACCTTCCTTCAGGCGCCCGCGCGCCTCGTTCTTTCCGACACGAACCTGCTGCCGTCTTATAACCCTGCGCGGCTCCTACGCTCGGGCTTCGGCTTCCTGTCCCTCGCTGCCTTCGCCACTCCGGTCTGCCCCGTAGCATGCATGGCCAACTCTACCACCCTCCAGCTATCCATCGACGACTCGTCACCCACGGTCCAATACTTCCCCTTCGCTGACACACTCGGACAGCCGGACTTGTTAGCGGGCTGGAACCCATACTTCACAGACTCGTTCTTCGCTGCGACTCCCGGCGAGACAGGAAATGGGACTTCTTTACATCTGACTTCACACGACGGGGCGGCGATCTCACTCACGTTCTTTGGTGCGTCGTGTGTGCCGTGATCGGCCTTTGCGGATTCTGACAAGCTATCACATTAGGTACTGGTATTCAACTGTTCGGCAATGTTACCCAGTCAGCCTCGTACGACCTGCAGCTTGACGGAACCACGACCACTCCGGCCATACCTCTCTCTGCGTCGGACCCGTCGCTTCTTGCGTCCTACGCCGACCTTGATGCAGGCAATCATACGGTGTCCCTCATCGTCCATAACCCCTCCAACGCCTCCTCGAACATCATCGCGTTCGATAGAGCGGTTATATTGGTGAACCAAACCGGAACGTGCGTCTTAAAGCGCCTTTAGACCTCGTCCAATGGTCTGACGAGTATGGCAGCACCGACATCAACTCTACTCTCATCGATGACACGCGCATTCCCTTCCTTGGCACATGGTCATTTGAACGGGATAGCTCACTAGCCTCCCTTGACGGATCAGATACCTTCCATACATCAAGCAACAGCGGCGACTTCTTTTCCCTCATGTTTAATGGTGCGTAGACGGTTTTTACGGGTATGACCCTGTGATAGCGCTGCACAGGGCTGATAGTTCGTATTGGCTAGGCTCAGCTGTGTCTGTCTCGGGCTTCCAGGACTTCAATTCGGGCCATTACTCTGTCACCGTCGACGGAGTGGTTTCCGTCTTCAACGCCCAATCCTCGTTCAGGGAGCCGACAACCCTGTTCTACATGACCGGACTCAGCGCTAACGCCACCCACAATCTGACGGTTGTCAATCTTGACAACCGCCTGTTGGCTATCGGCTCCATCAATGTGACCACGTTCAATACAACACAAGTGTGAGGCGATGCTTTCCTGACCCGGTCTTCCCGCCGGAGCTGATGATGTGCTTCCCATGACCGCAGATCCCCCGGGTCAACTGCGCATGCAGGCTTACCAGGAAGTACTATCGCCGCAATCGTTGTTGCGAGTGTGCTCGGCGCCGTGCTTTTTTGCCTGCTGGCCTTCCTCTTATATCGTCGACGCCGACTATCCTTGCTCCCTCGACATGGCGCAGCAGACGAGGAGGTACTGGACTCGGACATCGTCTTTGAGACAGGCGACATGGACGAGAGAAAGCCCCCGTCGAAGGTCAGCATCAGCATCGAACGCCGGGATGGCAGCAACAATAGTCGAAGCTTCACATTGTCCTTGCCTATGCAGCAGTCGCAGTCGCGTGGTTCGCCGCGGGACGATCACTCGCCCAGTATCCAGGAGCTACCTCGTAGTCCATCTGTCTCGCTCGTCGGCGGCCAGGTGCAGAATGGCTCTAATAACGACAATGGCGGGGATAAAGTCGTTACAGGTCGTAAATCCGCCAGAACCAGGTCTGCGAGCCAGTCATACGCGCTACCCCTTGCGCAATACCCGTCTCCGCCCGAGCAATACCGCCCTCAGCCGCGGCAATCCCTTCCGCAGCCACCCGAAGTTCAGCAGTCCGAGGTCGGGACGAACGATCCCGTCTCCCCTGCATCGGCTCTGGCTGGGTATAATGCTGCCCTCGCGAGCGCTGTAGCTGCCTTGCAGCCCTCTGTACCGGTGACGGATGCTGGGCGAAACTCGGACAGTGACCCCGATAACACGCGTCAAGGTGTACCCAAGAACGCTCGTTCTACGGGCTACTCCTTCCTCGACATCTCATCGCGCGAAGGTTCAGGTCAGGACGATCAAGAGTCGCCCGTGAATACCTCATCGTCTGGTTCCTGGGGCCCACGATACAATCGCATGAGCCAACAGACGGGTCGCAGTGCACTAAGCCAACAGTCCAGTGGTCGTCCTGTCTCCATGGGCTACGCGATTGAGCATGAACGAGGCACCGACCTGGGTCTCTTCCGGCCTTCGCAGCCTCGCTCTACAGGGCCCACTCACGCCCGTCGCTCTTCTGAACCCACCCTCCTCGCCATCCCACCGAACTTGCCACCACCGTCGGCGCCTCCGTTGCGTCCTCTTCCGCGTATTCCCCAGTTTCCCCAACTGCCCATTGTCACTCCTCCATCGGCCGGTCCATCACGCACAGAGGGCCTTCCCGCTCTATCTCTGCAGACAAGATTCGATTTTCCCGCACAACCGGCACCGACACAACTTTCCCAGCCGCGAGACCTTGAATTAGCTGCTGCCGCCGCGACTGCAAGTGTGTCTGCCACGCTCGGTCGATGGCTCCGCCCACCATCATTCTTGGGCCCAAGACGACAGTCACTCTCTGCGAACATCTCCCCTACGGAGAGCTTACCTGTGTCCGACATCCAGTTCCGAAGAGAGGACGATTCGGAGGAGAACTCTCCAGCGCAAGCTGTCTCTCCGCCTACGTCGGCACCCGCTCAACGTTCATACGCCTCGCCGTTCATCTTGCAGACTCTCCGTGGCGAGAGACCATCCATCGGTTCCCCCAGCGAACATATACCGAGCATAACCCACAATCCTAGTGCCGAGTCCGTTGAGCGGTTACCAGGGCCGTCATTCGCACCAGGTCTTGAAAGGCAGAGACACTGAGCCACTGTTTTGATTCGTGCGTTCTGTCAGGCAACGGGCACTTCCTCTAACAGTCTGTACATTCATTCTATACCATCCTATCTCGTGCTTTCGCGCATTGTACAACACTTCATCCATTTACTGTCCGAATACAATACGCTTTTGCCTTTTGTCACTGTAGTTGCGATTCCGGTATGGCATTGGTATTGTATTACTGCCTTGTTCCGCGACCGTCGGCCAGTCTGTCAAGCTTGCGCGCCCGCGGCACTCACCCTGGATGTGTGGCGTTTGAGTGAGCAGATGATCCTTCATCAGCCGCATGTACTATGGCGCTGCTATACTACGGCCCCATTGTCTCCCGCCGCAAGCCGAAGTTCATGAGCCGTCTGAAATCCGAAAACACTTTGCCCTGGGCCCCGTCGCGCGGTGGTGTCTGCGATCCCGTAGGCGTTCCGTCCGGTTGCGGCGAACTAAGCGTAGCGAAGATGCCATCTTGACCTCCAAGCGCCACACGGCTGCCGCCAGGACTGGCCAGAGCTGCAGCCTGCGATGCGAGCGACGGGTCCATATCAAGCGATGAAAGGAAGGAAGTTTGTTCGAGTTCGGGCCGAGTACTCGTTGTCGTCACGAACTCGTCCAAAAGATTGTTCTGTTCCGCTCGCGGCGTACCCTTAAGGTCAAGAATCTACCGAAGGTGGGAGTGGCGTCGTCAGCGGGTACGCTCCTGATGTGCGGGCGTGTGCAACAGTTCGCACCTTTTGGAAGTTGGAGAAGGAGGCGTCGCCGATAAGGAGGATATAATTGAGGATGAAACCTTCGGCAGGGCTCTATATGACTCATTATGGTAAGCCTTGTGAGGATCGTAGAAGCGAAGATCGGGAGAACGAGCCTGGGGAGCAACAATGACTTTGAGAAGCGCCTCCAGGCGCTGAGTCGTCTTCGTGATGCTTCTCGTGTAGCTATGAACTGAATCAGCACGGGTGCAGATAGCACAGGCGTGTATCTGACCTCGCTGACGTGAGGCTCTCTCCTGGCAACTTCAGCAAAGTTGATTTCAAAGAAGCCAAGTCCAACATAAGCTAGTTGCTCCCATGAGTATGTGCCATCTCTAAGAAAAGCTAAAGGAAGATATGTATACCTGTTCGGCACCGTTTTCTTTCAATGGACGGCTTCTGACCATCGAGTTGGTAAAGCGGGTGAGCACGAGGCTACCACACGGAGGTGAGATGGTCGATATACGCTCAAGCGAAAAACTCGTCACCTTGACGCCTTGTCAAAAAAGTTGCGCAGATATTTCTTGCTCTCGACCAAGGGTATCACTAGTTCGGATACCTGCTCAAGGGAACGTGAAAGTTCCAGCACGTAAGCGGACGGGCCGGTGACCTCCTGCAATGAAGCCCAGGCTGTACGTGAGAGGGTGAGCAGGTGTGGTTCGCAACCGGCTTCCATTTCGCGTAACAGTATTACGATGGAGGATGAGGCTGCGCTACACCTTGAATTTAGCATCAAGCCACCAGGATGAACCATGGGCCACGGACCTGATGAAGAGATCCATCTCGTGCTGTAGAGATACCTTCTCCTTGTATTCATCCGCTATACGTTGCCGCATCCGTTCCTCGAGCTAGCCCGTTTTGAGTATGAGGATGACTGACTGTGTATGCAACTTACTTCTTGTGCCGTATTGTAGCAATAGTCGGCCGTGTTGATGACAAGGCAGGCATTCTTAATCTCAGTGACGTCCCAGCGGGCATCCATAGACCGACGAGGCAGGGGACCCACTCTACGCACATTCAGACCACGTCCAGATATAGAAAGCCATACATACCGCTTGAGCGTTTTCGGCAGTATCTCCCCTTTGTCGGCTGTCAGAAGATTGTCGGAGATACGAGCGGGACCACATACCAGCATATGTACGCAGCCACTTCTTGAATACATCAAGCAAGTCAAAGAGAGGTTTGCCTGTAGACAGCGTCGCACACGCGTCCATGGTTTGACTGTAGAAATAGAATAGTTCCGTCGAAGAAGGCAACACTGACGGCGGGTTCTCATCGTGCTCCGAAGCGTGGCTCGTCGTGTCCAGAGAGGAGCGCGCAGTCGGACCGCGGTGTGAAGCAATCATATCCGCAATGGTCCTAGAACCCTGTGTCAGAGGTGTTTGATGTGCGAAGGCGACGAAGCTGACCTATCCTGTGCACGGACGTAGACGCCCATATGCGGCTCGAAAGCCGCACTGATGGGATCTGTTGAAGCGCCAACGATAGACGATTGAGATTGAAGTAGATCCTTGAACTGGCAGAGCTTGAGCAGAGGTCGTAGCCACTGGTTCAACGCCTTACCGGTACCCCAAAACGTTTCGAGATCGATATTTCGAAGTCTTTCGTCTGCTGCAACGTGTCCAGGAGTGTCATGACGGAAAGATCCTTCCCAGCCTTGGATAGCAATGAAGCCATGTCTCCTCTATCGAACGAGGAATTTAGATGCGGGACTGGAAATCCATTCCTAAGGGACTCTACCGTGTTACATCGACGAAAGCGGCTACAAGCGCCTGTCCAACGCTCCATTGCTCGAGAAAAGCGCGTCCAAGTCCGCCTTCATGTGTACTGAGCGTGCGTCGGAACCACGCAAATCTCCGAGAGATGTTGTCAAGCTGCCCAGCCTCGTCGGTGAGCCTAAATATTCGGCGATACTCCGCCATCAGCAGTGCTGTATACCGCGCCACCAGACTCGCGCGCACGTCGGGGCCAAGAACATCCGCGGTCTCACAAGCAGCTGTAACAACTGCTGCCTTTGGAGATGTCGGTTGTTGTAAGTAGCTGTTCTGCATCAGCATTGCGATGCGTAGAAAGGGGTTAGAAGACCGACTAGGCATCGAAATCGGCTTCAATCATAGACCGAACTTCGCCTTGAAGTTCTTGAACTCTTCTTATGAGCTGCGCAATTCGAGGGACGGTGTTATAGGGTTTGAAAGACGTTGATATTTCTTTCACGGCCTGTGTCAGTCAGTGAAGCATGAGGCGTGCGGCAAATGTTCAACGTACAGCAAGGTTCTGCGTTATATCAGAGTATCGCCTCTCCCTCACAAACTCTTCAAGCTGCGCCAGTGCCCTTACTGGCGAACCCGACTGAGCATACAATCTGATGCAGGTGTGCATGGGGGCGTACCGAGCATCTGCATCCTCCTCAAAATCGTCATACTGAGGGTTAGGTTGGCCTTTGCGAGGTCCAGGACTTGTATATCTTTCGTGATGTTGCGGACGATAGCTTCTGACTCGGTTGCCTTCTCGCGAATGCGAGACATCTGACCCAACAGATCCTGCGGCGCGTTCAAGCTTGATTCAAATACTGTTTCCGGGTGTGGCCACGTACCGATATCATCTCTTGTATGAGTTGCATCTTTCCCGGATCCTGTTGTAGCTTAATCTCCTCTTGTAACTCCCGTATTTCCACGGCCAGGTCTTGCTCGTCCTGGGCCAGCTTGGCTTGAACGGTTTCGAGCTGCCCAAGTGAAGCCTCTGTTCAACGCCCGCTCAATCAAAGCGTGGCCCGTACAGTTCAACGTTACGAACCGTCGGGGAAGTACTGGTTCAAGACTGTGACAGCATCGAAATCAGACAGACTGTCCAACGGGTCCGCATCAGCAGTCTGCAGTTCCAGTACGCGTTGTATAGAAGCGATGAGCTCGGGAGGCAGTTCTTCTCGGGCCCGCGTTTGCATGGATAACCAGGGCCTCCAGTGGTCTAGCACAATAGTATAGATATTCGCGTCGCGGGTGACAGTCAGAAGCAAGCGCCTCCACGCGCCGCGCCGTTCACGCGTCGCGCGCTTACACGCGCGCCGCCGCCAGTTTCGATCAACGCGTCGTTGTTGAGGCCGAGGATATTCGACCACGTTGATCCTCGACCACCACCACCACCTTTGGGTGGCGAAGTTCCCCAATTTAAATCCAAAGTCATGTTACGGGCGACTTCGTTACTCTGACGCCGCAGTCTGAGAAAGCTCTGCCAGTTCGGCTTGTAGCCGGTTTAGGATCAACCGCCATGTCCCAGTACACACATCTATCTGCGCCTGATCCGGAATTCCAAGCACTGTATCAAGAGAAACTCAAGAGCCTTCAGGGAGGCCCGCCTAATATCACGCAGGATGCCATGCCTAGTGATCCCATCGCTGCAATGAGGAAGGAGGCTAGGGAACTATGGGTAGCCGAAGCGGATAGAGCGTACGAGCATATTCTTCCGGATGGTGGTGTACTTTAGCCGGACGCGTCACTCCTTGCTGACTCTACTCACAGCTGCGACTTATAGTATCAGGGTTCACGAGGTCGACGTGTCCGGGGGTGCCACAATCATAGTCCGCGCTATTGTCCCCGCGACGTCCAACGATGATAACCATCCGGTTCTGGCATATATGCACGGCGGAGGTGTGTGCTATGGCTATGGAGCCGAATTTCAACACAGATGTTTGTATGTCTAGGCTGGGTCAACGGCAACATCTTCGCGGACGAAAAGAAGCTTATCATTCTTGCTGTCCGGCATGGGCTCGCTGTCGTTAATATCGACTACAGGTTCCTATGCCCAACATTCGCCGTTCATTATCCCCCCGACTAATACCCATAGGCTCGCTCCAGAAAACCCTTTCCCTGTACCCATCGACGATTGCACTGCAGCCCTCAAATGGGTATGTCAGGGACTGCGCGCACCCACCCTATGCCCCTATTGATGCTGTAGCAGGTAGCGAGTCATGCAGATCTGCTGAAGGCCAACCCGAATAATGGGTTCCTCGTCATGGGCTCCTCGGCTGGAGGACAGCTTGCCTCTGTCGTTGCCCGTCGTGCGCGTGACGACCCTCACTTCCGCGCTACACCCATCACAGGCCAGATACTCCAAGTTCCGGTCACTTGTCATCCCGACGCATATCCTAAGAGGTAGACCTATAACGAAGCCTACGAGAGACTGGCTGAGTCCTTGAAGATACAAGGATCAACTCCTTTCCTTCGACGGTGTCGTTGATGCCCCCAATCTCTCTAACGAGTTGATGCGGTGGGCCTGGGGTATGTTCACCGGCTCAACTTAACCGGCGCAAACCTCACGCAAAGCTCTTAGACAGATTTCAGTGTGACCCAAGTCATCCTGATGCGTCCCCATTACTTGGATCATTCGAGGGTCTACCGCCTATGTTTGTACAGGTCGCCGGTATGGATCCCCTTCGTGATGAAGGCTTACTCTACGAGAGACTTGCAAGTGAGGCGGGCGTAGAGACCAAACTTTGCGTGTCAGTAGCTATTCACCCCTCTGCAGACCAGGACTGATGCTCCGCAGGTACCCTGGCGTTCCACATAGCTTCGAGACAGAGTACTACGGGATACAGGCGGCACAGCGATTTAACAACGATCTGCATGAGGGCGTGCAATGGCTACTGAAAAGGCATGTCTGAATGTAAGACCGCATAAGATTCAAATAGCACACTCAGACGTGCTTGGATGTACAATCAAGTAGTGTCCTCGTTATGCCAAGAGTCGAGCCACCACCGAGGCATGCTTCCCAGGAGAGCCGTGAGCTTCTCTAGTTGCTCCTGAGTTGGACGCTTATCGAACTCGAGAGAATAAGACGACGTGACACTGATGATAGGGATACGTGGAGGGTTCTCCCACCGAGGAAGGTCCCTGTTGGTATCATCTACAAGCGCAGTCTTGAAGTGTAGCGGTGTACGGATGCCCGATTCCCGCTGCAGACAAAGGGCAGTGGCGTGCGTGAGGTGCATTGTTCCCACTTCGTCCTCGTCGATGTACTTGCCTACACGAGGCAAAAGGTACTGGTACATCGTCTCGTCTGTCACCATGTAGCCATAATAAAAGGCTCGCACAGAGGTGTTATGACCAGGAGGCAGTTTGAGGGGAAAGGGTCGGTAAACAGGGAATGTGGGGCGTTGTGGTGGTAGTATCTCGTCGGGTGGCACTGTAAGAGAGCCAGAATCACTACTTGAAGCAAGCGCCTCATTTTGCGTAGCCGCAGAGTGTTGGGAGGCGGACGGTGATGATAAGTGTGGCACAGTTGTTGAGCTTTGTGATGAATCGGCACGCTGTCTTTCCCTTTCGCGACGGGCTCCTTCAGCAACCAGCTATGATAGTACCCGTGAGCCCATGTGTGATTGATCATTTATGTCTTCGACTCACCACTGAGTTTAGTAGGGAACCGGACTTCTTGTGCGACATGTTTGGGTAGGCGGGGAGGGAGTGGTGGTGGTAGTGAATGGGCGCGGTGTGGCGGGGCATGCTGTATTTATGCCATCCCACGCCCTTGTCGACTTCTTGAAGGTCCAGAAAAAGGCAGTGCCATGAGGGCCAAATACAAGGCGCACGAGTCAGGTCCGGGTGCCATCAACCGTAACGTGCGATGCTCTGACCATTTGCCGAGAACAAAGGGCGCGAGATCTCCGTGAGAACATTGCTAGCCGTTCAGGCGGCCGTTTCTCTGGAATGCATGTCAAGATATGGAAGCACTGACCGGTCTTCATAAATACCACTCGAGCACCTGATTGGACGGTTCCTGCAGTACCGGAAGGAAGGCTTACAGATACGGAAACTTCCTGGCTACAACCCCCTGAATGGCCGCGTTATACGCTTACCAGTGTGATGAAAGGGGGAATCCGAATGTTATGCCTAGCGGGCATTTATAAAACACAGTTGTCCCTAAGTAATTGTCCGCAAGAAGTTTGGCCGCAGCACTCAGCAGTTGCGTTGTCACTGCCTCCAGGCGTCCGATACCGTATGCGGCAGTACTCCAAGCCACGCGCACACACAGGCAAGTGGCAGTCCTGATGAGAGGTATGCGATGCACTGTACAGAAGACTGCTGCTACCACATGCCGATGATAAATAGTATAAACATCATGATGCAAAAGTATCACGGGCATGCCTGAAGGTTTCTCACAGTGCCCAGCCATGATGTGAGCATGTCCCCGGGTCGACCATATCCATTAGGGTAGTCGAGCTGCTCTCGCGTCTTGACCGTAGTGAAGGTCTCGAACAAGGAGGCGTCAGTACGTCTCCAGTTGGCGCGCATCAGTGCAAACCGGCATTCGCCGGCAACATTCTGCAGCAAATCGGACCCAACATAGCGCAGCTTCCGACTCCCATCACGCTCTCGCGACTCGTACGTGTGAACTCTGTCTATACCTGTGCCGCGCGGAGGACTATCTTGCTTGTACGCATCTGCACGGCCATGCCCGGGCCACCTTCTTCTGCCGCTTCGAGGTCGAGCTCTCATGTCTGGAATCCGGCTCTCATTGACAGTTCGAACGAGAGACTTCCTGGAACCCCTGCTGCCAGTGCTTCTTCTCGGAATACGCACATTCAGACGCCGCAAAGCGCATTGGATACGCACTTCCCGTCAGAGCCTCTGCGTCATCACCCCGGAAACCAACAAGACGCCGGGTTTGACGCGAGTGCTGGCCCCGTCTACCCTGACCAAGCGGATGCTCGGGCGCATAACGCACTATTTGACCTGCCTGTACATTCATCTCTACACGCGCAAGACAGTGGCATAGGTGTCCATGCATCGCAAAATGGTGTTTACCCGCCCAGCAAAGTGAACTCACGCGTGGACGCCACGAAACCTTCTCCCGAACTTTCCCGCTCCTGGGATGGCGCGCTCAAGTTCTTCTTCACGCGCGCTGGGTTAACCCAAACAATGCAAGGGTTTGGAGGCGACATGCTCGTGATGAATCCCGCTTTTGAGAGGAACGAATTACCGAGTGCCCTTGAGGATCTCAAGCAAATGCTATACGTCCGTAATAGTGAGGCGACCCAGATATCTGATAACCACTCATGATGCCACAGCGAATGACCGGACCATCCCCGTCTGATATCGAGGTCCCAGCATTGGACAGGCGAAAGCTCGACTTCGTTCGGCACTCAGCTGATACGGAAATACTGACGCCAGGTTCGGTAAGACCATCACTACTTCTCATGATCGACTCTGATATGGCTACGTAGATGAACGGATCTATATCTCTCCTTCTATCTCGTAAACGCGCACGCAATGATGCATCTAATCAATCAGAGTTCATCGTCAATAAGCGTCAACGTCTAGACAGCAGGGAGAGCGCAACGACAGCAAGAGTGGATGCCAAGACTGTTGACAGGGAGGCGATGATGAAATTCGACATCGCGAAGAACGACGAAGGTCCATTGAGGCGAACAGTCCAATCACCCTCTGCTGCAAAGGACGAGGACAAGGACAGGCCTTATTTGACTGGTATGGCTGCGGATGCGTCTGATAGGTTGCACTCGGGGCTAGACGAACGTCTCAAGAACTTGGAGGAGCACTTAGCCATGCGTTATGGTAAGCTTTCGCGAATACTCGATACTGCATTGTTTTGAATCCCCACGCAGTACCTTCGGCGCCTGTAGCGCTTTCGACTCGATTGCAACTTATTGAAGAGCATATCATCAACCTGGAACGCGAATACCCCCCTTGGGCGGCCTTGCACTTCAATCAACCTCGCCGCGGCGTGAGTCTGTTAAACCTTTTCCAGAAGAGAAGTCCCTCATGTTTCCATTCTAGTGGCCTGCGCCGCCTCGCCCAACACCAGTCATTGTATCGTCACACCTCACTTCAACAGCCGCTCAGAGGGAATTCTCTGCATCATTGCACCAGGATGCCCAATCTTCACCCCTTTCGGAAGCTCCCGTGTCGAGAGAAACGAAAGGAAAGGGTCGCGCTCAATCTAGCCTTCAACGGGCCGTTCTTGAAAAGCTGGAGGTACAAAAAGCGATGAATGACATGAAGGGGCCAACCAGCTGATCGCTTGGCGATGATGGCATGATGTACTACATACAGCTTCATGGACAGGTTCGAAAGCTATGCTACACGGTGGTAATGCAAGAGAATGCTAGAGATACAGGCGAGTGAATATGAGTCCTCCGCGTCAGTCCTGCTGCGCCAATCATACAGTTACATAATCGCTCTTCTTCACGATCGGTGATTCGCAAACCACCATGGTATTGTCGCTTCCATCACTCCCCACGCGTACATGCCCGAAACTTTCGTGAGCAACCACAGAAAGCCGTACGGGGGGCTGTATTGTATCTGCATTGCGTGATATGCGGCTATGCTAGATGGCGGTCAGTTCCAGTCCACTGGACCAGTTGAAGTCAAGCTATCAACGTACGTCGAAAGCCAGGCTGGGAGCCGATGTGTGTATTGACGAAATGCTTTGCGATAATGCTTTTCTGGTGTTGATCGACGACAAGAGCGATATGACTGATATCATCAGCGACATACCCGAACCCCAGAGCAGATGTCGTACCGTATAACTTTGGCAGAAGGTAGTGGAAGACGATGTAACTGGATGCGGAGTTAGAAGTGGACGCTTCACGACGAGCAGCGTGACTCACTATGCACCATCATCCACGAGCTTTAGTAGATATGAGCACAGGCATCCGGCAACACGGGCATGCGAGACGCACTGTCAAGTATAAAATGACATCGATGATCGCGCATAATGAGGTTACGGCGAATGTTTGCCATAGAAGACGGACGATCTTGTCTATGACATCGTCGGTCCGCTTGATTCCTGGCTTGTGGTGCCTCTGTACGACAATTTCAATTCATCATTGCGCGTGTCAAGAGTAGACAGGCAGAACTCACCAAGTGCCAAATTAACAAGGTGCTGATCAGTACGTCCGTCACGGCGCTACCAGCAAGCCACAGGATCAATCCCGTCTCGTAGACAGGAAAAATCCAAAAACCAGGTTGGTTCCTGGCAGCAATGACTCCCATTACGATGGCACCAGCTGTAAACAGTTGGTTCATGAGCAGATCGTGACCGTAGGAGGAATTGAGAAACTGACCAAACGAGGCGAGCGAGCAAAGACACACCAGACCGGCAATAGCGATGCTGTTCAACATCACTCTCACGCGCCAAGCGTAGAAGAACTGGACAATTAGCCCCGTGAAGGCCTACATAAGAGCATCTGTTAGACAGCCAGTAAACTGAGATGGGTGTAGTATACGCACGGATACCCATGCAACTAGAACACACAGTGAACCCATTGAGCACGTCATTTGCGACATGCGGATCTATGTACGTACTCATTTGAAAGGCTACGAGCTAGTCAGTGGATGCCATGATAAGTGATGAAAGCGCAACGCACCCCAACTTGACTCGAGGAAGAAATTGAGGTCGCCGAGATGCAAGACAAAGAGGTCGTACGATGTCATCATCGTGAATGCGGAGTGCGCCGTGTCAAGGACGTATAGAACGGAGATCTAGCAACAATGTCAGTAGCGCACGAGACGTGGATAGAGACAACGCACTAGACAAATCATCCACAGCTTATCCGTGCGCAGAAAGGACACTGAAGTGATCGTTGGCGTAAACTCCTCGAACTCGGAATGATAGCGCCCGTACCTCCATAGCGGAACACCTGTTACTAGGCGTTAATGATGTGGAAGACTGGTGTCGTATGGCACACACCTGCATGGTAGTCACTCCGAAGAGAATGAGACTCAAGAATGTGCCCAGAAGTATTGGACCGAAGCTGTGTATGGTCAGGGACTGTGGCCTGCACGAGAGTAAAGCCCGAACGCACGTATTGGGGGGGCTTATGTCGCCCATACCGGCGGAGGCGCGAGCGAAATGGAGAGAAAAAGTGGGCTCCTGAAGCTCAAGGAGTTTACCTTATAGGTGCGGCTGACCATTGACCCAGACACGCAGCCACGGCGCGAGTAAGACATGTTGCGGTGGCGAATGTGATCCCGATGTGGGGAAATCCGGCTACCTTCCACGAACATGCGGCTTCGCAGGCTATGCCATTCAGAGGATTGAAGACACAGCAGTTGTGCAAAAATACTTCTCTATGAGGCCCAGGATAGCGGGAGCCCATTACCGAGCAGTGTCAGTATTCGGCCTCCGAGGCGAACACCCCTTGCGCTGCAATCACTGCATCTGCCCGGCTCGAGACACCGACAGCTCGTCTCTTTGGGAAACTGTATCGCCCGTCTTCTCCCTATTCATCGTTTAGCGCTTAGCAGGTGTCGACGGCATATCTCGGGCAACTGGAATTCTCGCCGAGACTGGCCATGGTGACATCGATACTGGCTCGAGCCAGCGTGGATGAACACGCACGCCTCCGTATAAAAGGTAGTCCCATTTATTGAATGCATGCCACATACGGCGATGCTTTGGAAATATTCAAAACCTCGAGGACAATGGCCATCTCGGGCGCCGACTCCTCCGACCTCGGGGTGACGGTGAAACATACAGCATGGAGCGGCATCTGCTGAACCGTGTAGTCTCGATTGGACGAGTTGAGCATGTGGTCTTTCTGCCTAGCAATTCAGATGAGATAGAATACGTGAGGGTCCAAAATCAACCTAGTGGTGGTAACTGAACGAGGTTGGGCATCATCGCCTCGATGACAGCGGGCCCGGGCTCGCGGGTCGGCCCGGGCTTAGCCGGAGTTTTGCCACGCGCAACACACGCGACAGCCATACTGATCCGTCGCTCGCAGTAAAGTCGCAGTGCCTTAACTCCGCTGTCCATCTTATCTCGAACCATAACATGCCCACAAAACTCAGCGTGCGCGACATGCATGGCCTCGGATTCGCGCTCAAGGAAGCGCAGAACTCATACGACGAAGGAGGAATCCCTATTGGATCTGCGCTACTTTCATCGAAAGGGGAACTGCTCGGCAAGGGCCACAACATGCGTGTTCAACGCGAATCACCCACCCTTCACGCTGAGATCGCCGCGTTAGAGAACGCAGGACGGCTTTCCGCGGATGTGTATAGAGATGCCACTATCTACACCACACTGAGGTAATCGCTATGAATAACTACTAGGCACACCGATCACTGACATGCCCGACAGTCCTTGTGACATGTGCACCGGCGCGATCCTACTCTATCGTATACCTCGGGTGGTAATCGGAGAGAACTCGACCTTCATGGGCGGCGAAGAGTTACTACGTGCGCGTGGAGTTGAGGTCATCGTCGCGGAAGACAAAGCGTGTCAGGATCTAATGGAGAAGTTCGTCAAAGAGCGGCCGGCAATTTGGTTCGAGGACATCGGCGAGGTAGAAGGGTCTTCGGTCGCGAGTTAATACACGGATCCGGATGGTTTGGGGGTGTTAGGCATGGCAGAACGACTGCTTGATTCATGGATCAGGCGTGTCTATTACATACTACACAGTCTAGCCGCGGGTTAATATACAACGTGGAACCTAGGAATAAGTTGAGGAGGACTGATCGGACGCGCGGCGTCATATTACAGGTATACGTGGAAGACAGTGGACAGTGAATGTTCTTGCTGGGAGAAGACAGCCCTCTTTCGGGCAACATGTGTATGGTGACTATGCTGGACAAGGAAATGGGTATGCAATGGACGACGATACGTGCGGCGGGAGAGCGAAAACAACATGCATGGTGAACTGGAGCGTGTGATGGACGACGACGATGCGAGATGCAGGGACAGCTGAACGCGCGAAAGCGGTGAAATCGACAAGGTATGGGCGTATCAGGATAGCGAACGTTCGCGCAGCGAAAGATCGTATGCACCACGAAGCCACGGATGCGAGACTATCTCTGCTATGACCGCACGCTCGTCTGGGTTGGGGTCAAGACAGCGGAACATGAGATCTTCCGCCTCAACCGTTACCCACGAGCCGGGTCCGTCCTTCTCCTGCGTCGCTTGTGAGCATTATGAAGCCTGCCTAGGCTAGAAGATACTCACGTGTAAGACGATACGCCCGGCGATCGCGTCGCGCTCGGTGGGGAACGGAGACATGCCCGTGAGGAGGTATGAAAGAAGCACGCCCAGGGTCCAGACCTCTGCAGGTGGGGCCCGATAGGGTTTCTTCCTGAGCACCTCGCTCGCAGCGTACGCAGTGGTGCCAAAGAAGACCGTGTAGTAAGGTCGCGGCTCTTTGGGATCGACCACGACTGCGCTACCGAAGTCGACTAGCTTGACGTTGAGCTGCGAGTCGACAAGAATGTTCTCGTCTTTGATGTCGCAGTGGGTCACTCCCTGCGTGTCGAGGTATGCGACTGCATCAACGACTTGTGCGAAGACGAATCGCGCCTGGGACTCAGAGAGCCTCTTGTGCCGTGATTGCTCGATGCACTCGAAAAGGTCGTGCGAAGGCCTGCGAGTGAATGTCGGTCGAGTAGGCTCGAGGTGTAACGAAGCCTTGGGAGCAGGCTGATGAGAGCTTGGTAATGATGCTGAAGAGCTGCTCGACGCTATGCGGACTATTTCGGGTGAAGCAGGTGGCGGTGGCGTGGAAGACATCTCGGAGGAAATGGACGGCGAAGGCGTGAGCGCGGGGGTGGAGATAGCTGACGGCGAGACAGGCGCCGATGCTTTCGTCTTGGCTACCCATGGCGATCCATGCAGCTCTTGAACCTGCATGTGGGATCAGTTGAGCGCAAATCAATGCATGGTAGACTTTGCACGTACAAGGTAGAAGTACACGTCGTCTTCGAACAAATCATGGCACCGCACGATGTTCGGGTGTTGAAGCAAACCGAGAAGAAGGGCCTCGGTCGGCAGGGCTCGCCCTCTCGAATCCTCCATCCAAGCGTGGTCGGGGACCTTGTCCTTGATGATGAATTTGACCGCGACCTCGTGTCCACCGAAGCGATGCGTGGCCGTCATGACAAAGCCATAACCACCCGCGCCAAGTTCATCGCAGAGATGATACCAGCGCGTGAACTCCGGGTCCAGAATGTGGTTGCGAGGAAAACGTGGGGACAGGTGGTGGGCATAGACGGGAGACGACGGGCGAGAAGACATTGTAGGCGGTGAATGAGACGGAGAGAAGAGTGTGGAGGAGGAAGGAGAAGGTATCGCATCATAAGGCATGTGTAGGTTGAGACCGCTGTCAGTGACGCAGAGCGCTGCGGGCGCGCTGCATGATGAGGGCATCGCTGGCGGTGCGAAGTCCTGGTAAGTGGGAGAGAACGGTAACTTCGCAGGATCTGCGACGCGAGGTAATTGGGCAGGAACGATGTCCTGCAGCGGTGTCTGCAGTGAGTCGCCGTCGTCAGATGAGCAGTAGTCGACGGCGGCGTCATTGGCCCGCATGCCGGTGCAGATGGGCTCGAGCTCTGGCAATGCACGAGACGACATGGCGGTCGGGAGAGAAAGACGCGAAGGGAGGCGGGCGCACGCTGCGCGGGGAGCGGGAGCGTTCGTTTTATGTATGAGTGACAGCCTGATTCGGAGTCCCTTGAATTGCGAGCTGCCAGTATTGGTAGCTGTCAGCCGATGCCCTGCTCGCCCCCGAAGTTGTCCCTCCGGCCGCTACTGACGCCACCTCCCTTCTGGCCTTCTCGGACGGCTACAGAAGCACCGGCCTTGCACTCTTAGAGACACAGTAGCAGCGGCCTCGGAGGAGGAGAGACAAGCGACGACAAAAAGGACAATGAATTGGCATGAATCTACCGTCCAACCGGATGCGTCATAGATTCATCTCGATAGGGTTCAAACGGTACAAGTAACAGTGTTCGACAGACAGGCCATCGCCTCCGTTTCCAGCCACCTGCGGCTTCTGGGCGCGTGTCCGAAGTGCGTGCGAGGCCGGCGCGGTCGAGGAACAGAACCGAGTGAGTCGTGTCAAAAGTTCGGTGCGCGCATCGACCGACGCGTTCGGCACTTGCCGTTTGCCTCCTGCTCCCACCAGGTTCCTTCCCTCTTCAGCAATATCATAACCCTCACTTGAGTACTGGACAGGAAATGATGCTACATGTTTCCTCTGGTCTTGAACTTGATCTCTTCGACAGGTCCTGGACAGACAGGTATGGGTAGTACCGATGACAGTCAGGTCCCCGAGTCCCTCATCATCGGCGATGTTTGTACGGTAATCTAAACCACCTGTGACGACATGCAGCACACTCTCACTTAATCTCCATCCATCACTATCGCCATCCAGTGCCGCTAGTTCTCATTCGCTGCGCGCGCGTGCTGCTAGTTGCCTTTCAGAATCATCACGCATGCTTCGACTCGCCTTCACTCAGGAAAACCTCCGCCGCGTCAGCCTTCTACAGTGATGTGACGTCGTGATTGATGCTGGCTCTGGGAGTCTGCGAGGCCCGCGGCGCGATCCCGCCGACGATACAACGAGCCTGCTCGGAAATCGTGGGCACACATCCTAAAACGGCATCCTCGGCTTTTCAGCGCGGACAATGAGCAGCGATGTCCACATTCCAGCTTGCTTAGTGTATCACGCGCAACACTCCACAAGCAGATGTGGGGAGCAATCAGCGTGCAGAGCGCGTGCGGTCGCTTTCGGGCAGGGTATGATGCTCCGGTACGAGTGTGCGCAACACGCTCCGGACGGCCCGCAGTGGTAAGGTAAAATCTATGATGGCTTGAGCGTGTGTGTGAGCGCACCTCTCCAGCCGCGCTTATGTTTCCCCATAATGCGTAGACAGAGTTCAGAGCGTCAGGGTTCGAGCCAGGGGTCAAGGGCATGTACTCGATGCGATCGGAAGGTTGTGGGCGCGCGTAGCTTGTCGGCCCTGCCAAACGCACACCCACTCCACGAGCATCATATCTATCGTGCGAGCGGCCAAAGCGAAGAGTGAAGCTGCATGGTTATCTTACCCTAGGCCCAAACTTACGCGTTTGCCGAGCGGAGAAGACTTGAAGCATTCAGGTATGCGATGGCTTCGCCGCCACTGCGATGATCACGATATGGCGTACAGCCAGCGCATCTCCATTTAGCCACAACGAGGGTACGAGGTATGTATCAACACGCAGGTTTGTGGTCGTGTGCTCGTACGTGAAGGGACAGATAATCACATCGACCGTACGACGTGCTGACCTGCGGTCCGCGTCCCCGTGTGGCTGAGCGGACTCCCGTGTCGATAATCAACGTTCAATTCCCATGGCGATGCTAGCTACATACACAAGGAGCGGTGTGCTCTTGTTGTGAGCTCTCGCGGTGGCCTCGCCTTAACATCATGGCGCGAGTGAATCCTCTGACGAAGACGGGTTCACATTCAGGCGCTGTGGATGGCCATCAATTTTTTGTTGTTCAGCAGCTGCATTACTCTGTTACCGGCATGGCATCCTCCGTAGGCAATGTGAATATATAGGATACATATCAGGCTGGCACCACAGTGCGCCCGAGTGCAGGCAGCGATGGCATTTGCATCAATTATGTTTCCTCAAGCATTCGTGAGAAATAGCCATGAATACACTATTCTTTTACCTCCTCCTTGTGAAATACGTCTGCAATTGCATGAGAGGATTCGTATCGACACACAGACTACAACGCACTGGGTACTTCAGGCATCCATGACGCCCTGCTCTTACAAAAGAATTCGCCCTTCGGCGGCAAAGCATCGGGATCATCCAATGAGCCTGTGACAATATAACGGAACTTGTCCCTCACAGGCTCCTGCGCAGCGAGACGGCCCACGTCAGATACACAGGCTACTCATGCTACGCAGTGAACGCACGCACCCCGTACTCGAGTATGAAACTCCCACAGCTATCGCAGAACTCGCGATGTATGACCGTGCCAGTGCCATTGTCAGCAGCATGCTCCTTCGACACGCCTGTCAACAGTGCGAAAGATTCCTTCGGGACTCATGTCGTCAGGCCGTAGTTCGTCCCGAAGGCTTTCTGCCTCGCAGCTATCGGCACAGTGATCTTGCGCCACAGAAGTCGAAGGACGGACCTTGCAGTTCTTGCAATGACAGATCGACGTCCGTGCGTCTTCTGGCGACTCGAGCGTCCACTCGTACGTGATGGCGCGACAGTAACAGGACCCTGTATACTTTGGCATTGGAGTCAGTGTAGAGGACTGCCACATATCTGGCTGCAGTCCTATATAATACACCGCCAAGTGGAGAAAGCGTGTATATCATTATGACCAAAAGAATGACATCACGTTGGGCACGTGGACGCTTCCCGTCAACGAGACTAACATCGAGATGGGAGAACAGCATTATGATAATGGCAAGGCAGAGAGAACATATGCAAGTGAACGCCAACAATACGATCACTTGGGCTCCTTCGCGCTCTCTGCCAAACCCCACATGAAATATACGGCCAGACTCCGGTAGGGCTTCCAGTTCTCCGTAAGTGCTTCCATCTCCACAGGGGTGAGCAGCGCGCCTTTGATTTTCTTCTTGCCAGTCAGGCGCGCCTTCATCTCTGTCACGGTCAACCCGGCGGGCAACGGAGCGGGAAGTTCGTTGGAATCGGCATCCCGGCGTTCCAGCGTGTTGTTGATAGAGGGCGTGAACGCCGGGAGAGAGGGGAGCCCGAGCGCAGAGGGTGTTGGCGCGACCGGTGGACGCATCAGCGAACCTGTCTCATCCGGCCGCGTATCGCCGTTTTGTGAGTTTTCGGGCAGAGTGGCGGTCCTAGGCGGCGGCGTTGCCGGCCCTTCTGTCGACTCACGCGGGCCAAAAGTGGGAAGAGCGTCCTTTTCAGCAGGCTGGCTCTTCTCCTGCGTGTCGGCTTCCTCGAGCGACTTCTGAGGTGAGACTTCGATGCGATAGGTGGGGTTGTGCAAGGAGAGGTACCAGCGCAGGACACCGCGTTGCACCCCTAGATCTCCTGTTGGCAAGATGTTTGGGCGCCGTAAGGAGAAGATCGCGAACATGTCCACTATCAAGCCCCAGTCAGCACGCCTCGCACTAAAACGACTGGAGGGATGGTCCACGAACCTGTCCACTGAGATAACGGTCAGCAGATAAAATGGTTGAAGGGAGCACTCTCAGCACTCACTCGACCTATCCCGCGGACCGCTGTGAGCATCTCATACAGCTCCTCATCTTCTGCTTCGAAGAGTTTATGGCCACTCAGACGACCATCAGCGAAGCGAGCCGCCAAATCTTGAACGTATTCGACCTTCCTGACGCTGAGACCAGCACCCTTCAATATAGCAAAGGGCGTTGCCGCCACCTGATGCGGCGTAGGGAATTTGTCCGCATCTGGAGCTTTGGCCCAACTGCGTAGTCGATGAGTATCACAGGCTAGCGGAGCAGCTATGGGCGTACTAATCGGCATCTGGCTTTTCCGGCATCTCTGGGAAGTAGACTCGAATGAACTTGTGGCGAACCGAGCGCGCTGCGATCCATGAGATTTGCTGCCCGCTGCAAAAGGTGTGAGTAACCGCTGGCGAGGTTGCAGATCCGTCACGCACAGGATGGAAGACGTCAAGGTTCTGTCAAAACAGCAGTCAGTCGCTGATCACGGTTCCCAGGAATATGTCTGTACTTGAATGGTTCTACTCGGTCGAGCTTCTCGAACGGCTTGCACATCTGCCTGGCGAAGACATCCGCGAAGCGAGAGTCCGATTTGACGAGGTGGCTCTTGGCCTCGTCGAATGAGAACGTGAGCTTGGCCGGGAGTAGCTCGAGTGCCAGCGCATCCCCGGCAGGTGGTATTTCAAAGTCGACAGCCGAGGGTTCGGGTGCACTTTCGACCTTCGCCTTGGTAGCGTTGGTAGCGCGTTTCTTCGGCGCTTTGACCTCAGCATCCTGGCTTGTCTCGATGGCCTTGCGTTTCGTCGAGCGGGGTTTAGGCGCCGGCGGTGTGGGCACTTCCGGAGCCGCGGCTGCTGTGGTACTGCGACTGGCTGAACGCGTCGTTGGCATCTCGAATGGTCTAATTTCCCGGATAATGCGTGTCAGAGCAGTCAAGCGCAACAGCATACACAAATGCGTCGCGCTCGTGGTAGTCAGAGACAACCTCCGTTGAGACCGGAACCGTCATGACCATATAGTTGGCGGAGACGGTGACACGCGAGTCAGCGCGCTTCGGGCGCTGTGGTTCGGGCGCGCTCGACGCGTTTACTAATAAACACGGTCACATGAGAGACGCGTCTACGTCATTCATCTCGACGCGGACGTCCGAGGAATAATGGTTGAACGGTCATTTTTGTAACGTGAAATAGGCGGAGATACGAGTCAAGTTAAAGTAGCAATTCTAGACTAGCTACAAGCCGAACCCTGGGCTGGCCTGACCAATGTTCTGTGGGCACGCCACCTTCCGAGGCGCTTTTGGTGCTGAAAACAGCCGTCGCGTCAGTGCACATGGTACATCTGAGAGTCGTAAAGTACATGACTTGCCTTTCACTCCCGTCATCCTTGCGGCATGATCAATCAAGATGTCCCCGCGCTGCACATAGAGGTCCGTGTCGTTGCCACGAAGGTAATAGAACGCGAAACCGTCGTCGTGTTCGACATATTGACAGCACGCATCGTCGTGGCCAAAGAGCGACCAGTAGAAGTCACCCGCGCTTTGCGAGGCTTCTACGGCTCCAAGGAAGGATGTTAAATCATTTCCTCCCTGTACAGTTCCTTAGGTTTCCTTGCCTACACAAGCTGGATGAAGGAAACTTACGTTGACGCCGGTCCAATCGTATTCCCCGGCGAAGTACACGCGTCCAGCTTGTTCGACGGCTTCAATGCCCGAACTCAGTCTGGTTATGTTTGGTGGATCTACGAGGACACTGGTGAGCAAATGGGCAGGTTCAGGAGTTAAGATTCCGCACAGAAATGATCGCCGCTACAAGATATGGTCAACCTCGGCTCGGAATATCATTACGTGGTATATGCTCACAAGATATCGACCACTTCGTTTCCTAGCGTCTCCGGAAAGACGCCGTCTATGGAATCCTCATTATAGTCTGAGTTGAGTGTAAGGCAGTTAACGTACACGAGCCATCCATGAACAGCTGGTCGGGTGCGATGCTTTTGACGTGCTCGCCGATCTCCTTTGTCCACGCCGGTGGAGCGGGCCCATCTCCGAATCGGATAGCGGCTAGCTCATTGCCAGACTCCCAAGCTATATGGAGCGTTCAGTTGCGCAAGCGCGCAAAAGTTCGAGCCAACCGTACCCATGATAGTCGGATCATCCTTGAGTGCAATCCCAGTGTACTGGTTGACGTGCTGGTGACTCAAGAGTCAGCTCTGAGATGACGCACACGGTATGAGAAGTAACACACGTTCAAATGGTGGGTGATATATCTCTTGAAGCTATCAACGATCGCTGTCGTGTTGTAAAAGAAGGCGCCGACATCCGCGGGAACAATGTCAGCACCCGTGCCAGTGAAGTTGATGCCGTGCCAGCCGATGAACTGGTACTTTCCCCCGTGGTAGTAGTTGTACTGTGTGCAACAATGAAGTTCTGTTCGATTGAAAGAAGTTCTTTCTGCTCACGTTGTCGACCAGTGGGATGAGCAGCTGTACTCGCGATCGGGTTAGGATGTATCGAGACGATGAGACCTGCGGCTAACCTTGATACCGTACAAACGCGCAGCGGCAATGGCAAAGTCAATAGACTTGTACGCGGCGTCATTGAACTCGTCAAGGGAGGGCTCCACACTCAATGGGTTCCCGAAAGAGACTCCTAGGGTGTGTCCGCGCACAGCGTTCCCTCCCATCACCTGAGCCGGCTTCAGTACACTATCGCAATCATAGGAAGATCATGCGCACCGCAACATCGGCGAGTACCTCCAGCACTCGTGTCTGGCTAGGATAAGACGGATCTGGGCTGGTACCAGAGTTCAGTACGGATCACTGCTTCTGTAACGGTCTACGCACATCACATTCTCATCCAATCCGAGCCAGTATATGTTGGCCCCAACAGGCTTGAACGGCTCTCCAGCAAGCTTCAATTTCGTCCCGGACCGCTTGACGAAGGAGTTGCGCTTGAGCACTTCTACACGAGAGGGTTTGCCGGGTCCCGAAAAGATCCCGGTGAAGTTCGCCGTCGAAGGACATGACGCCTCGGCATCGCGGGGCTGCAGTAGATGAAGGAGCTCGACCTCAGATAGACCGGTGAACGTCGCGAGCTCCGGTGGTACGATGACTGCAGCGTGGCTGGCTAGAGCGCCAACTAGCACGGAGGCCAAAGCGGCAAGGTAGGACCGCACCATGACCGCGAACACGGGGACCGAACAGAGAGTCTATTGACTTCTGTAGGAGGCAACCCTTATAACGTTGTGCGGATCGGCCGTTCAAGTGTCTATGGTCAGGCGATGGCACTTCTGACCCGTAGCAGGCGCGCTTCCGGCGGGTATGTGATGAGGAGAAACATCGGCCTTCGCCCGGGCGTGCGTACGGTGCATCACTCGAACGTCGGATATTCTATTCCTTCGCCTTATACGGGCACATTAGAGACCTCGTGAGGCGTACAAGGTTCTGCAGGGGGCGATGGTCATGGACATTGACTGCGGGCGTCTGAACAATTCTTGGGAAGACATGATGTATGACGGCGGGAGGCAAGCTGCGTGGCGCGCACCGGACGCGCTTCGGCGCACGTTCACTTCCTGCTTGCATGAACACCCAAACCACACTGGCAGGCTTGTTGGCCGCCAAGTTTCTGCTCGCCTTGACGCCGTATGGCGATCAGTTACAAGAGAACCAGATACTCACATCACCGTTAAATGCATATCCGCGCCGTGAGTGATTTCTGGCGAGCGATGATTTACGCTCAACATACTGCAGTTCGTGAGGGCATATACCTATTCGAGCACGGTATAGATCCATACTCTGGAGGAACATTCCGACATGTAAGCCGCGCTTAGGTTGTACTGTACCACTTCTCTGATGAGCGCATAAAGTAGTCTCCGCTCTTTCTCTCCCTCTTTGCGTGGTTACCCACATGGCGAATACTGAACGCGCTGCTGTGGACTGGCGCGGATGCCATCGCTGTATGGGCTCTTGCCTCGATTTGGGAAGCACGATCTGGTGGAGACCGTAGTCGCACCGGCCTCATAGGCGCAATGTACGCACACTCAGGACATTCTCACCTAGCATCTCTGATGAGACTTGTACAGATACCTCGCGAACCCTTACCTTTTCCTACCTTCTCTGGCGTCTGCAACATCTACCTTCGACAATGCACTTGTCCTGCTATCCCTCAAGTACGCTGCGGAACACAACACTTCGCCCGCGCTGCTAGCTCTCGCAGCAGCTTCACATCTATCATTACCCGCCATCCTGCTGCTTCCTTCGATTCTGCTACTTCTGGCTAGCGATCCACACTCGCATCTTGCATCACCGAAACCCTTCGCAGGTGACTGGAAGCGGATGGCACCGGCTGCCGGAGAGTTCACCGCGTACTTCGCCGTTCTGACGCTCGCGTCAAGTGTCGTGGCTGGTGGGCTCAGCTGGACACACAACTCATGGGCCGCGAACTTCCTGTTGCCCGATCTGACGCCCAACCCTGGGTTATGGTGGTACTTCTTTACGGAAATGTTCGACGACTTCAGGCCGTTCTTCCTCATGGTGTTCTCAGTACGTGCAACCGTGTCATTATATATTGTTCTATCACTGACGTTAAACTCAGATGCATCTGCTTATCTACGTAGCGCCCATGTGCCTAAAGTTTCAGCACGACCCACTATACGCGAACTTCCTCTTGATCGGCATCCTCGCAATATTCAAGCCGTACCCCACACTTTCGGACCCAGGGCTCTTCTTGAGCATGAGCGTACTCTTTCCGGAGGTCTACCAACGTGAGTTGGCTGCCACGTCGACTCGTGCCTTTCGCTCACACACAGATATACAGACATGAGATACCCCATAGTCACGACGCTCCTCCATCTGCATGCCTTCTTGCTCATGCCACTCTTCCACCACCTGTGGGTCAGCACCGGCACGGGGAATGCTAACTTCTTTTACGCTAGCACCCTTGTATTCGGTCTTGCGAATGGCGGGGCGCTGTTGGACTTGATCTGGGCCGGTTTGAGGATTGCTATCGGGGAGATTCCGGAGGGCCACTCCGTTGCACAAGAGTAGTGTTGTACCGGTAGCCTAGTGTTTGCAAGATATAAAATATGTGCACCCCTCACCCCGTAGCAAGTCATCATGCGACTACTGGCCAAGCCTTTTCGCCCACTCGATCAGAGCACTGGGAGGAGGATAAGTGAAAGATCGAACCAGGAGAAAGTATGGACATACCGAACAGGACGGCCAGTCATGCCCTTCTCCTGATACGGGCTACCGGTGCTCGACTCCATGGTACCGGCAATATCCAGATGCGCCCAGCGTACGGAGGGCTCGTTACCATCTTTGCCCTCTACACCTTCAACAAAGTGCTTGAGGAACATCGCCGCAGTTACACTACCCGCCGAACGGCTACCAGCCTACCATGCACGCATGAGTCTCACGCCGAAATAACGGTGGCAAGCTGGACTCACATTCATCAGGTCTGCATTAGTGGCCGTGATCTGCTGGAGGTACTCCCCGTCGAGCGGCATGCGCCAGAAGCGGTCGTACTCGGTCTCGCCAGCGGTGCGGAGCTCGTCCCACAATCCATCCGAGTTCTGTCATGTATTCGTCAGTTCATCAACCCTGTCGCACACAAGTTGTATGGCATACGGTATAGGTACCGGTGTAGACCTCACCGAGTGCAACGACCATGGCACCTGTGAGCGTCGCAGCGTCGATGACGGTGTGAGGCTTGAATTCGGTAGTAGCGTAGGTAAGCGCATCGGCAAGAATAAGACGGCCTTCGGCATCGGTGTTGTCGATCTCGACCGACTTGCCGTTCATACCGTAGACGCTACAGAGGCATTGGATGAGCCTTGTGTCAGGTATGGTACATGAGACTCACATGTCGCCGGGCTTCGTAGCACTAGGACCGGGCATGTTCTCGGTGAGAGGGCAGACGGTGATCAAGTTCACCGGTAGCTTCAGCTTGGCGATAGCGAGTGTTGCTCCTACAACGGTGGCAGCACCTCCCATGTCGCCACGCATGAGTTTCATGTTCTGCAAGCCAATCAATTAGGGTCCCCTCATTGATGAGCAAAGACAAGCTTACCGCCGATGGCTTGATGCTAATCCCTCCTGTGTCGAAGGTGACACCCTTGCCTACGAAGGCCACGGGCTGTGCTTCCTGAGATGCGCCATTGTAGTGGCTTCGAGACGTTAGGCACGTTTGGGACGCATAGCAACGCGGCTCTTACATCTCGAGGAACTTCGCAGGCTCGTCCGTTCCGCGAGACACTGAAAGGAAAAGGTTCTGAACGCGCGTTAGCGAAAGGCACACGCAACGGGTTCGAAACAGCGTACCATTCCTTTCTCCTTGGCCCACTCTGGCATAAATGTGGGTAAGCTACTGTCTCGCTTCATCACTGGGTGATCCCATACCTTCATCCCGCACGACGATCGAAACTCCCGGAATGTTGCCAAACTCAGCCTGTACGCGTTCGCAGAAGGCAGTGGGCGTCATCATGTTTGCTGGCATTTCTTGGAGCGTCCGTGCAAAGTTTTGAGCCTCGGCATATAGCATGCCCTCGTCCCATTCCTTCGACGCCTCCAGAGGCCCAAATGATAGGTTCTCGGCGGGGGCATCAGTTGCTCCTGGACGGAAACTTGATGGTGGGTCCGTCTTGAGCGTGAACTTGTACTTCGCAAGATGCGCAGCAACGGCTTTAGAATCAGTCAGTCGTCACTCAGCATGGTTATGAAGCTAGTCTTACCGGAAGCATGAGCATCGGCAGATGCATCGACAACGACCTTCAACTCCTCATCTCCAAGACCTTTGACGGCTTTGACGGCGCTCCCGACAGCCTTTCTAACAACCTCTCTCCTCGCACCATCCTTCTTCTTGTCGAAACCTTCCCCAAGTGACACGACGGCAGCATTGTTCTCGCCGTAGAATAATCGACTAGTACCAGCTTTCGCGGGTTTCTTGCCAGTGGGTGCAGATTGCCATAGTTGTGCCGCGTCAACAGGTGCGCCCGTCGCAGACTTTGGCGACGACGGGTCTATGGGGAGAACATAGACGGACTTTGCCGAAGATGACACAGTACGGAAGATGGGCGCGAGACGGGAGGACCTTGTCCTGCAGCGAGTCTGAGCCCGGAGAGTATTTGAGAGCATATTCAGCGTGAGAGTTGTAGTGCCCTCTGGTTATAGCTACAGACGCCAAATATGTCGGAGATAAATCTGCGAGTTGAAGGTGACGCAAACGCAAACGCGACGAAGGCTGGAGGTGAGACGCGTTCCGTGCCAGCAGGGCGCGAAAGCCGCGTGATGGCGTTTTGCCCACGCGATCGAGCGGACGCGCGTTGCGCGCGACGCGTCAGTACCACACCTTCCTCCAGTCCATACGCGTCCTTGAAGCTCTCCTCCACTCCCTTTCATCATGGTGAGTAATTGTATACATCAATGTTAACTTAAACTGACAACTGTACAGTCAAGACGCTATGATAGTGCGTACGATGCCAATATAAATGGCTGATCTCCCGTTGAATGAACTCACAGGCCGTACGACCGTGTTCTCGCCCGAGGGTACGCATTCTTTGTCATATCTAAGTATTAGAGACTTACGTGCATATAGGGCGTCTGTATCAAAGTATGCGATGCCGTATTACTGGCTCGAGAGCGCTACTAACGCACGGCTGTAGTCGAGTATGCCATGGAGGCCATCTCTCACGCAGGTACCGTGATGGGTATTTTGGCAAAGGACGGAATCGTACTCGCCGCGGAGAAGAAGGTGACGGGAAAGTTACTGGATCAGTCTGCGGAGAAGGAGGGCAGCTATGGCGGCAGTGGCGAGAAGATCTTCCTGCTCAACTCGTATGCATTACCTTGCCTTGCTTCGATGTATATGTTGGCTGATATCGCCTAGGAACGTGATATCTGGCGTAGCAGGATATACTGCTGACGCAACCTCGCTGATCAACTACGCTCGCTCCGCCGCACAACAACATCTACTGAGCTACAACGAGGATATCCCAGTCGAGCTCCTCGCACAACGTCTCTGCGATCTCAAGCAAGGCTACACGCAATACGGTGGTCTCCGTCCATTTGGTGTCTCTCTACTCTACGCTGGATACGACCCGCACTATCAGTTCCAGCTATACCACTCCGATCCCTCTGGGAACTACTCTGGCTGGAAGGCCACCTGTATCGGTGCTAACTCCGGGACTGCCCAGAGTCTATTGAAGCAGGAGTACAAGGACGACATCTCGGTTGACGATGCTATTGGACTTGTGCTTCGGACGATGAGCAAGACGATGGACAGCACGACACTCGGCAGCGAGAAGCGTATGTTATCTCAATCTCCCATTGAATATAAATGCTGACACATGTTCCATAGTTGAGTTTGCAACATTGACGCTCGACCAAGCAACGAAGGTGCCGAAAGCGAAGATCTACCGTCCAGTCGAGATCGACGCGTTGCTGAAGAAGCACGACTTGGCGAAGAAGGATGAAGATGCGGAAATGGCGTCCGCATAGACTGCGCTTGCTTGTATTCGCTCTGTATTTTCACACTCGCAATGGCTTTCTTCGGACCAGAGTCGGCTGCACAACGTGACCCATGATAGTAGCAAATTCGAAAGCGCGATGAGCACATATATAACAGTACAACAGCAAGTATTCCGCAAAGATGTTCGGCCTGACCACCTAGTGGCACGCCATTCCCTTACCAGAGCCAGAACCAGACAGGACGGCTTCAACGTCCATCTGCGCACCGAAGACATAGTGGCCAAGAGCTGCACCAACTACGACCGCGAGAATGAGATACGCCTATCCGATATGTCAGTCCTGTGGATGTGACGCAGCGAAGACACAGGACGTACGTTGTATGTCATAAATACCAGCATGAGGAAGAAGGAGATGAAGACTGAGCAACCGTACAGCACCGCGCGGAGTGTACGCGCGGGGACGGGAACGTTCATGCTGAAACCGGCGTTAGCTTGCCGCCTGTCACGAGCCAGTGTGGTATACGCACATAGAGCTTGACTTGAATACACGACCGGACAAAAGGCCGGCCTCTTCAGCGTCCGGGTCGGTAGGCAAGGGGCTGCTACGGCCACTCACCGAGCGACCCTTGCCCCGCGAAAGCGCAAGCGCGATCTGGGTGTCCACGCTGCGCTGGTACGCCCTCAGCCATTCGTAGCCGAGCGAGATGGCAACAATGGCGAGACAGCTGATAGCGAAGATAAACTTGGAGGAAATGTGCCATTCCTTGAAGACGATGCAAGTGTCCTCTATCTGGGTATTCCTGAGGGGCGTGTGAATATGAGCGTATATAGGTTCGGATTTGCTATATATGCGTACCAGAGCATATTCATCGTGCATTTGGGACCCATGTCCATGCCACCATGACCGCTGTGTTCGCCGTGGTCCATACTGCCGTGGTCCATTGTAGTGAGAGTTTCGGAATGAGGTGCTTCAGATGGTCGAGCGCGCGTACGGAAGCCGAAGCTGCGCGCGCGTCGCCGCCGGCAGCTGTAGACGCCGCGTCGCGTACACAGGCGCCCCTATCTTGACGACGCCACAGCAGGTCTCGCTCCTTCGCTCCTCCCGCATTCCGCCAAAAGCCTAGGCAGATAAGGGCGCACTTAATCCTCGAGATACGTATTGTCTTCCAGGCTCTTATGGCAGCTTGGCGTGTTTTCGCGTGTATCAGTTGATAGAGCTCCATAAGTAGGAGGTACTTGTACGATAATAGCAAAGCCTGACTCGCTAGACAAACGCTTATGCGCATTGGATTCATACATTTGTATACAGTCTTCGACGCCTCTCCCCCAGCCTAATTGTTCTGGACTAGGGAGATGGATGGTGTACGAACCCGACCTCGACGCGATTGACAACGAATTCATGCGCAGTGACTGCGACTTCGAGAGGACGAAAATGACGAAAGCTAGTAGCGGGCTCGACCTGTACGACAAGCACATCGGGGACATGACGCCTAAAAAGACGATCGCGAATCGCATTGTCTCTCAATTAGAGTCCAGGGCGACCCAGCCGCCGTACAGTAGTAGGGCCTCGCAACGCAGTACTATTGAGTCAGATAGTGAAAACTAGTCACGATGCCTCTCGAAAGCGAGCGAGAGGGTGCACTCCAATGATCCTTTTTTTTTTTTTTTTTTTTT